GAAAACGCGAATTCATATATCGAACGGTAGCGTGCCGTAAGCTCAGCGACAGAAAAGTTGAGATGAGAAGACAGTCGGAACGCTGGCCCTGCTCAGTCCAGCGAATCAAGATACTTTGATTGGAAAGCCGAAACATATCAGTTAGGTGTTGCGGAAAAGGTTTGTTCATGCATACTGTCTAAAGACAAATTGACGTGCTATCGAACTACGGTGTGCCGGTATTCGCGTAGCTTCCGTCTCGCGCTGCGAAACGGAACCACGGAATCTCTGACAAATTTGAGGGCTTCCGGCGTCGACAAGGGGGTTCAAGAATGTTGTCTTTAATTTAAATCGGAACAGCATGCATGGTCAATAAATAGACCGGTCAAGGTGTGAAGACTCGCTTCGTGCACATACGTGCCGCGTATGCGCACGAGCCGAGTCTTCACACCTTTCAGTAATATTAAAACGTTCGTAGAAACTTGATAACGTTGCCGTCTCTTCTCCATTAGACTAATCATTTCGGCTTCTGCCACCCGCGTCTAGGAGAAGCCGGGTTCGTCCTAACCGTGCACCGTACGGTCGAAAGGAGCTCGTGTGGCTCGTCGGTAGTTTCAGGCCTTGTTCCAAAACTTATTTGATCTTACTCTAGGGTAAAGGTGGCTCTCGAAAACCTACCCGCGTCCAGCGTCTCTCTGTTTATGTTGTCACGAGACATAATCCACCAGGGTAACTCGGATCCATTCGAGTAGGTTCAGAACGCAGCCTTGGTCTGTCGCGCTCCTGTACGCCAAGCGCTGTTTAGTTGCTTCGCTCAGCGTATGAAACTCGGAGTGTCGGAGTAGGAGTCGAGCAGGGTACAGTGCTCTACGAAATGAAATGGACCAGCGGAGCGCGTGGTCTATAGGCCACGCGCTTTGCTGGTCCACAGATACCGCGGCAGGTACGCTATAGCGTACCTGCCGCGGTATCTGTCGGGAGAAGCCGTGGTGCAATCTGGTGTTGCGAGTCATAGATGCGCGTAGCTGAGCCAAGCAGTCAGTGGCTGTTCGTGCTCAGAAGGCAGCCCCCCATAGGTTATTACTGCCATAGCCTCCTCTATACTCACAAAGCCTGGCAGTTCGACGACTGAGCAATACAGTGCCCTGTCGCAGATTTGGGGCGCGAGGATCTGGTAGCACAGAGCATTTCTCGGGGAACCTGGTCGTCAGCGCACAGCTTTTGCAGCGGCGAGGACCCGAAACATGGTTTGCAAACCCGACGAGAAAAGAAGCGGCAGCGCGAGGACCGGGAGCTGACATTCCATCGCTGGGGAGAACTCTGTTTCGGCGTCTCGCCGCAACGGGGCGCCCGTCACGTGGCTCTCCTCTCATCCGTTGTCTGCCGCTCTATCTTGTCCATTTCGGTGGCCACGTCTCGTGGCGATCTGCCTGGCTTTGTCAGTATAGAGGAGGCTATGTTACTACAAAGCAGGAATCTCGAGCTTAACCGCTTTTTTTCAATCATCGCGTGTCACTCGCAATTTTTATCTGTCGTTTAAAACGTGAAGTTACGTCGCAATAAAAAATAAAACAAAAAGTGCGAAAAAGGAAGACATCCTATTTATTCGGTCTACAAAACGGACAGACGTGTCATGACACTAGACATTTATTTTTTTGTGAACAGTGAGATTACTGCGACTGGAGGTAATTTTTTTTTTTGCAGCTTTAACATTTGGAAACAGATATATCTGTTTACGCTATTGCAAAGGAAAGGCAAAGCAAAAAAAAAAAAAAGAAACGCTGGCATGTTGCAAACTTATGGCCAGCGTTGACCAGCTATCAGGGGTTGTGCACCGAACACGAACAGCCGCTGAGTGCTTGGCTCAGCTGAGCGCATGTGCAATTCGCGTCACCAGATAGACCGCTTCTCCTGGCAGGTGGCGTCACAGGTGCGCAAGGCCACGCGCTCCGCCGCTCCATTTAGTTTTCTTGAGCACTGTGCATATAAAAAATCACATTGTTTAAAGCCCATGCGGTTTTTCGAGCGTTCAAAAAAGGCGATGATGAAACCTAGAATTTCTTAGGTTGTACAGAGAGTCTTCGGTATAATATAATTCTATAAAGCATATACGTCTACTTAAGGTAGTGAACAAACAGAAAAACATTGCGACAAAAGAAAGAGAGAGAGAGAGAAAGAGAAAGAAGAAAGTGTTCGGGGAATGAATAACCATTTTTACAGCGGTAGCTGCTAGCTCCGGCCTCCAGCATAAATGCTCATGTACGAACGCAAAGCCCTACTCTACAGCAGAGGCACTGCTCTCCCTCTCCCCGCCGTTCCTCACACACGGCAAAACTCTCTCTCTGTCCATCCTGCCTTCTCCCCTGTAGTCTGCCGCTGTTCCGAAAAACTCACGTGACCACGAGACGTGCGCTCTCCTCCTCCCCACCGTTCCGGCTGCATCTACGCACTCTCTGACAACGCTCTCCCTTCCTCCCCCCTTTACCCTTCCGGCAGCCGTTGTTGCGAAATGCCTACCTACTTCGACATACCTTTGCACAACACAGCACCAGCTACGTCGACTGCCGTTGTACTTAAAGGGACCATGAAATGATTTTAAAATCGAGTTTCATCCACCGCACGTCGTAAAAGGTGTGAAAAGAAACACAAAAACACAAAAATAGGGAGCCCAAAAAAATTATTTGCTATAGAACTTTTAAAAGAAAACTGGACTCTTTTGCGCCTTCCTTCCTTCGCCTGTTCACTACGATGCATACGCAGAATCGGTGCACGTCAGCCGAATCCACATCGCCTATTGGGTAAGAGCCTACCTCACCAGCACCGCGATCGTAAACAATAAATAGCCGGCGAATGTTTCCTAAAAGTTTTGTTAAATAATATTCAGATCCACATTTTGTAGCATAATTAGAGATGTGTGGCGAAAATTGCCAAATTTGATAATGCTGAGAGCCAAGCGCCATTTATCGTGTGGTAAACGAAGCAACTACTGCGCGTGCGCAGTAGGGCAGGGCCGCCAGTTACTTGGGTGACGGCGACCAACGAACATTTATTTTCTTTGTTTTCCTTCCTCTCAAAACTCTGACTGACTGAACGTTTATTTTTCTACGTGTTCTTCCCGCGCGTGCCGACTTCAAGCAGCAAGAAAACAGTACTTAAAACAGACCACGACGAACAAGAACGCTGGATTCACCGACTCCGACGAAGCGTATAGGCCTAGCAGGCATTCCGACTCGGCGCTGCGTTGCTTCGTCGCAAGACCGTCTGCCTACGACCGGCTGGCGTGCTAAATGGAATATGCCCGCGCGACCCTTGTGGACCCTTCCCGTATTATAGTTTGATCACTGACCTCAATTCTAGATTAAGAGGTGAGGAGGTCAATCTCTTCCCCTTGTTTTCCGAGGCAGCGTTGACGAACACTCGTCGAAAAGGGACTCTCGTCGATTCTATCTTCTTGTTTTGTGTGATATAGAGCTGAAATAAACGCCGTATGGATTGCCTTCGTAACACGGTATGTACACTTTGTTATTGGTATGCCATTTTTATTCTGACAGACTGCACGTCACTGTCGACCCCGGTCCAACCTTTCTTTGCCGAGTGTCGCGTCAGTATCGAGTTGCAATCGTAAAAGAACGGTCCCGAAGCGCTTACCAACAGCGCGAATACAAGACTTCCATCAAGCGCGCGCGTCCGCTCCGAGTGTAAACAGGTATTTACGTGGCTCTTGCTGACACTCGTAGTTCAAACGTATCTTTTTTAACGTCGGCTCCCTCCTGCATCTCCGAGGCCGCGAAAAACGCCATCTACGTCGCTTTGCAAACGACTGACACGGGCCGGCCCTTCTGCCAACAATGACGGGGTGGTGACAAGACTCGCTGCACTTCCCAACAGGCATACCGGCGTATGGGACTAGTCCCATGCTGTCGCTGTAGCGCAACATATCTCATTGAATTTCGCTCAGCTGCGATGCGGCGATGCGAGGCGCCGATTCAGGAAATACGTCGGTGACATCAGCGCAGTAAAACCTACCGGCGCACCCCAACTCGTTGCCGCTAACACTCCCATTCTCCTACTGCCGAGAGAACTTCCGGTTCCGGAAACGGTCTACGTCACGGCTTCTTTTGCGGTCAGTTGGAGAGAATGAAAAAGTCGATATTTCAATAATTTTTTGTGTAAAAGTTAATAAACCGAGACGAAAACGGATGCCTGTTCGGCATTCAGTGAACATTGACGGTTTAATGTAAAAGTTATCTGGAAAAAGTAAAAAGGTCATTTCATGGTCCCTTTAAAGGGGCACTGACATCGCAAAGGTTGTATTTGTTATTGTCGTCATAAACGATGCAAGGTGCACAGTAGAAAAGGAGCTTCGGGGCACCTTGTCGAGTCAGTCTCGCTCTCGGTTGCTGTTACGCCGCCAAATCGCCGCCCGCTTTTCTGCTGTTTCGACGCTTGTTCTGGATTTTGTTCGGCACAAGCTCGCCCCATTAGACCTTCAGTTTGAAACGGGATTTTGGTTTCTTCTGCTCCTGTCATTTTTGACAATATAATTTGCGCGACAATTGAGACCCGTCGAATTGCATCCCACAAGCTTTCTGCAAGTATTACTTTCCGCAGACATCTGGAGAAAAAGCGACAGAATGAGGATAAAGGTGGTCACTCGAATGAATGTTCACTGCGCTACACTGTTAGCGCACACAACCAATTCCCGCTAAAAAAAAATGTATATCTTAAAATTAAAAAGCCGATTTTACAACTTTTGGTGATGGAAAGTGCTCATTTGGGACACAAGCATAACCTGTAACGGTCAGTGCGCGCCAATGAACTTCTAAATTAAAACGCGAAAACACGCCAATTTTGTGTTTGCGCTAAGAGTGTCGCGCAGGGTACGTCTTAGGGTTAAGTTTCCTCTAAGAGCGTGATGTTTGAACAAATCATTAGATTTGTTAAGATGCCTGCATGGATATTTAGAGGAGTCCATTGTATAGAACCCGAAAGGTCAATGTCGAGGTGGCGTTCTCTTTCAGAAACCGGTGCAGATGGCCCTTCTTGCCGTGGCCTTCCTGAGCGTGCCTTGGCTCCTACTGGCTAAACCGCTCTTCCTCTACTATCTGTACAAGAAGCACTCCTCGGACAAGGTAACTGGGTTTCAAATGTCTAGAGCGCATGTTGAAGACTCGTGTTTGTTTTTATGAGTATAATAAATTGCTATTGTGCTATGCTCGATTGAAAATGTTCGGTAGCACATGCATGCTACAATGATCAAAAAAAAAAAAAGAAAGAAAGAATATAATGAGTTTTAGTCTAGCGTATGGTACTGAATTTATAACAATATTGCGCACGGGCATTTTATCAAAACCCAAAACCATATTATCTTAGTCTGAAAAACAAAAATAACTTGCTTAAAATTTTATTGGAACCGGTCTGTTGCGCTCAATTGACAATCGAAGTGCCATTGACATATTGTTTGCTTGGTTTGTGGATTGAAGGCGTGAACCACTGGAATGGCAAAAAACACGAGAATATATTTTATTTGGTGTTTGTTTAGCTGTAACCAACATAGACCTACATTCGTAAAGATACTAATTTTTTTCTTCCAACTACGAGGCGCGATTAAAAATCTCCGAGGCTAATTTTTTAGCGTACAAAGAGAGGGCATCGCCGTAATGTGCGCGCAGCAGTCGAAAGCAGAAACCTTCGTGTCTCGTTGATGCCAAAAAATGTCGTTCTGTGAGCATTCGGAGCTGCGCTACACAAGGTTTTGGAAGCACATGCACAACAACAATGACGATTTCAGCGTACAGTCGGGGACAAAAGTCTCCAGGACACGCGAGCTGCGGCTGAAACGCATTGCTCTGCCATCTGCCGGCGGGTTGCCTGGTTTCGAGATCACACAAAAGCGCATGCGCGTCCTACTCTGTCTGCAAACATGTGTGTTTTCCCGCTTTTCTGCGGCACAGCGCCTACCTCGGAATCGGGCGCGTGGTACCGCCTCGGATATAGCGCTGGCGGCTTACGAGCGTCTGCTACACATTCCGAAACACGAGATACCACCTGGGGCATTGCGCCGCATTTCGCTGTGTCAGCGCACCTTGCTTTATAACCAGTTGAGTTTATCGCTCAGTTGAGTTGCCGTGACTTCTTGCTTTATAAGTGCCATGTCAGTAAGCGCTATCTCCGAGGCGGTACCCCGCGCCCGATTCCGAGTTAGGCGCCGCGCCGCAGAAAAGCAGGAAAGTGCACACGTTGGCACGCACAGTAGGACGCGCATGCGCTTTTCTGTGGTCTCGAAACCAGGCGACCCACCGGCAGATGGCAGAGGAATGCGTTTCAGTCGCAGCTCGCGTGTCCTGGAGACTTTTGTCCCCGACTGTACATTGGAAACCAATGTAAGAACGAACGTTAATTCAGGTCAAGCTAGGCAAAAACTCATAGGTTCACTTATAATTCATATTTCGAAGAATCACAAATTTCGCTGTTGTATGCTGCGTCAGGAGCATACATGGGTAAATTACTTTCAAAATGTAATTTAATTACAATTACAATTACTTAGCTCCAAAAGTAGTTTAACTACAATTACAATTACTACTACGCAAAAGTAGTTCATTGCAATTACAAATTACTTTTTAAAAGTAATGCAATTACTTTACAATTACTTATTTCTGAGAGTTACCCCCCACATTGGGCCATATAACTGTAAACGAGTTATATGGCCGCTGTATAAATGTCACGCATTGTACTTTCCTTTTATGAAATTTGTTAAATGGAATATAGAACTTAATAGTTTGGAGTAATGAACTCCTGCGTTCATATATTCTCAAAACATAAAAAATGGCGACAAAATTCACAGGTGCGAGGTGAATCTCCTTAGAGCTTATGCAAATGGTATCCAAGTCAAACCAAGAAAAAATAAACTTAAAAATAATACAAGGAAACAAATATGCGACAACACTGGTATCATAAAACTCACGTAAAAATGGCTAATAAGAGAAACTTGTAAACGACGTCAAACATTTAAAGGATACGACAACTTACGAAAACATTTCAGCCACGATGATTCGCTGCCTCTCCCTGTCTGTGGACTTGTTACATGCCGGATGTGGGTAACCGTAGCACACGAACTGTGGTCGCTTCCACAAAACTAGTGTCACAATATCAGCAACTCTATTGCCAGGGATTCTGGGTTAATTCAGTGCACGGTAACACCCAAAAAGCTCCCGAGATAAATAATAAATTTAGGATCGTCATGTAGCTAATCATTAGGATAGCAATGATTGTATCGATGTTATGCGTCTCATAAAGAAGACCGATTTGAGTTTAGCATGGCAAGAACAACCTCGAAAAATTCATGATACACTGCAAACGACTTTATTTTCGCGAATTTCGCGAAAAAAATGTAAACACATTGGAATATATCGCGACCGCACCGCGTCGCGAAAATTAGAATCCGCGAATTATTCCAAAACTGCGGCCTCTTGGACGCCTCGATTTCACGATTTACTTGAGCGCGTTTCAGCTGGAAGATATAGATGAGCTATTATTATTTTTTTTTTTAAACTGTAAGTATTATTCAAAGTAACAAGAAAGTTGCCTACCTGCAAGTGTTTCCGCAAATTGGAGGTCGCCTTTCGGTTTATTGAATTTGTTTTCAGAAACGGTCCGGAGAGTTTGCTCCTCATGATTATAGTTTTTTACATTGGTGCTAATCTGTTTAGAGAATTTTTCGCAACAAGGCCCCGGCAGCCTTTCCTTTTCCATTGTAGATAAGACTGTTGCAGCTTCTCAATGCAAAGCAGCACTGCGCGCCTCGGGGCGGTTCCACAGGCCAAGACGAGAGGACAACGCGTGGAGGGTCAGGATAGAGGTGTAAAAACAATGTGCAAGCCAAGCCCTTTATAAAAAAAGAAGCCTTCAACGAACAACAAATGCAAAAACAAGCTCCCTAGAGCTAAAGCCGCGGTTTGTAAGTTTTGGAATCTCGTCCAATCAGGCTGACAAACGGTTGAAAGGGTTAGGTAGAGCGAACACTAAATAATGAAGATTTATACAAAAAGGTAGACGAGGATTGGGAGAAGGAAGAGCAGTGTAGCAAGAACAGTTGGAAGTAAGGCAGGGTGAGTCGTGTTAATGAGACCTGCTGCTTCTTTGCTTCTTCGCCTCAATGTTAGAGTAGCACGACTTACTGTTAATGGTATCAACATACGAGATAGAGGAGAAGGACGTGAAAAACTCATAAAGAAAAGAGAATAATTTCATGAACAAAAAAGTTCCAAACTTGACTGAAATATGTAAGCGAATATGCTAGCGGCGAAGACGCGTAAGGAGAACCTCTAACCTCCCCGCCTCGACCGGATGATGTGATCGGAGCCAACCAGCTCGACTTCGACCTCCGATGCCCCCGTGTGGAAATAAGAAATAAGAAAGACCCCTAGAAGCAGGAGCAACAGGAAGCAAACGAGACGAAGAGTCAGATTCAACTACGACAGGAAGGAAAACGGACGCGAATGTAGCCCTCATTTATCAAATTATTTTTCAAATTCTTCATTAAATTGTTTTACAGTCTACAAAATCCTTCATTCCGTTCTATCCCAGCATCTCTTTCCCATCCCTCTTTTCCATTTTTTTAGCAGGTTGGGAGACGCTCTCTCCCCTGTCGCTTTGGCTGTGCTGTCGTCTCCGTGGCCAGGGGGGAAAAGCGCCGCCGCCACAAAATCTTGCAAAAGTAATTGTAATTGTGCCTGAAATTTAGCAATTACTGACGCTAGAAAGTAATTAAATTACAATTACAATTCCTTTTAGCCAGAAGTAATTATTACAATTACAAATTACCAGGAAAAGTAATTAAATTACAGTAATTTAATTACTGTAATTGAATTACTACCCAAGTATGGTCAGGAGTGCCTGAGTTGTCATGGTCGAATGTGAGTATAGCGCTTACAATATTTACATAGCGCAATACATATCAAAATTTGTGTAAGCTTGATGTCTACAGTGTAATGTGAGCCGTGACAGAAGACAGAATCACGTGAAACTTATTCGCGAAGACGTTTTAAAATATTCCTGTTTACTGCGAACCGTTTGCGAGTGGAACGAGTTCCGCCGCAGCGCGGTGGGTGTTGTCCCCTTTGCTACATTTTATTGCGTAATGGATGAACTTTTCTTCCTTAGGATGGACTCCAACGACTAAACTGCTTACTCGTTTTACTGAATGCTTCAGTGTATTTATTTGATTCGCTAACTTTTTTTTTATCGTTTTGCCTATGCATTGGCCTTCAAAAGTTGGCCGGCCGAATCTTTTATCTAAATAATAAATAAATATATCTAGAACAGAATCGACCTTTGAAATGATACAGCTGTCTAATGGCGAAAAGCAGTGAATCGTGCGAGATGTTTTCAGGACGCTCGTGCTTCACAAATGTTTAACAACTGTTTACGTTTTCTTTTTTTGTCTGAGTGTTTAAGATCACGCACCCGAAGTTACCCACACCATCTGTTTCACCTCAATATATCTCTACGGGGGTGGGCGACCTTTCGGGTTCTACATAGTTACGCATTGTCATCTTTTACAACATTACGATTAAGCGTATTTGGCATTTGAGGTTTGTTCCTTTAGATTGTCCGTTTAGGCAATGATGGTGCTCCGCGGCGACAGAATTTGTTCTGCCAAAAACGACATCATTTGTTTTGATTGCGATACGTACGCTGGGAACTGTGGGCTCACATTTGTCCTTGTTTCGACACGTACTTACGAAAATGTGCGGATATTGGCCTGTAGCTGGAAGACAACGCGTACGAGCGTAGGACTCTTCGAGGAAAAGTCTAATCAAAGACAGGTGGGCTCAACCAATGGAAAAAAAAGTTTGTGTGTAACGTGAAGGCTATACATTCATAAAATCAGTAATTTAACCTATTTTTTTATTTGGTCGCATTTTTTTGACAGATTGAATGTAATGAATTCTGATTTATTTGACTCAAGTCAATTTGGTGTTTACCCTTTTTCGTTTTGAAAGTCTACTTTCATTGATTTCGTGTCATTAGGAAAGCTACATATCGGCAGGGTCTTGCATGAAACATCTCTAGTTTCTACAGCGTGCTTTAAAAATAAGACCGCGGCGCGCTAACACGATTTTGTGTATGAGGAAGGCTATTAATCTTTCTACCGATTCAACTGCCGAACGAGTAATGAAGCATATCTAATTTTAACATGTACAAATTCCGAAACAATGTGTGAGGAAGTAATAGACTTAATCAAGGCGTGTTATGGTTATTAAAAAGACAGTGCTAAACATTAAGCTGCCGATAACCTACTCATTTTGTCTGGGTCGCGTGCTGTGTGGTCACAAAACAAAAATGATAAAACGTTTGATTGCAGAGTAGCCCTTTGGAATAGACCCGCTACAAAAATTACCCACGTCTCGAGTACCTTGTCGAATTTTCTGGCTGCACTTTTCCACACCGGTCGATTTGTTATATCAGAAATGTCGTTAACGCTTCATTACAAAGTACGCGACTCCCACGAGACTATCCGTTAATTTCAGGCTTGATTTTTTTCTTGATACTAGTAGGTAGCCAAAACACCCTAACTAAAGAGAGGCAGCTTCGGTAAGTATTTACGCGATGGAGTGGTTCAAACTCTAGTTCAAACGATCTACACTAGCCAGGAGGGTGCCACTCCTCTACGTAATGTGTACGCTAAGCGGCAGAAATATTATTCCCCTTCTACCGTATTTACTCAAGTAATAGCCGCACTATTTATGAAAAAGGTCCTTGCGTCTACTTTCCTACCAAACACATATACAGCCTATCATTGCGTTACGCATAAATAACATAGCGAACAACCAGATCGAGAACACAATTCTTCACACAAATGCATTCTTCACAGATGGTATCTTCACACAAAGACGTTATCTCTGTCCCGTGAACAGCTGGAATTATGCTGTCGGTCGCAGTGATTGGCAATCTGCATGCTCCGCGGAAAAACGAACCCTCAGGTTTTCTTCATAAACAGTGCGGCTATTACTCAAGTAAATGCGGTATATGTGATACTACACATCAGGAGTAATATAAAAACAAGCGTCAGACAGTGACATAACTTTTGATGGCTATTTATCTCGCAGTTCGGTGGCAATAATATTCGACCTGCGTCCATCGCCGTTTTCTATAGTCACTGAGAAAACGTAGGGTGCCGCGTGTTTTGTGTGTTCCCACGCTTCGTGATTCGACTTTCGGCTTTCTTATTGGCTAACGACGAAATATAATTCGCTAAAGAGCAATAATAATATGCACTCGCCATGCCAGATGCCAAACATTCGAAAAATCCACCTATAGTTGCCGACGAGTTTTAGTGTCATTTCAGTCGAACAACGATGTTTGTTGCCTACCTGCAGCGTTTGCCCCCAGTGAACCAGAAACATCTTACTTATTTACATGCCAGCAATTCACAGTCGTCTTATATGCCAGTCTCTCGCTGTCTGAGTGTTGCTGCCCGATGGAGCACAGCCCCGACTGGAGCACTTCATCGTCTGACTGCTCAGCGATAACGTGCCTAGAAACTCTGATCTTCGACCCGTGTTCCCCCGCTGTGTTCGGTCTGTGTACGACAGTGTGGCGGCGTTGCAAGACCACCCCACAAGCAGCCGCAGCAAAGATCAAAGAAAAAAAAATAGCACCATCACCCGCAACGTTACCACCTTACTCTCGCCCACAACCTCCACTTAAACAATTATCCCAATTTTTCTTATCTGTACAATACCATTTCATCATCCTGTGGAGCCGCGGCTCTCCGGAGGCAAAAATAAATATTAATATACATATCAATGTAAATATATTATTATAAAAACAAGAGTTCACATGCACAGCTTTGGTCGGCGCTCACGGTGCGTGAGCGGCAGTGTTCTCATTGCTATGACTGCTTGGCCACAAAACGTTGCCCGCGAGTATAGTACGACGCGCGTGTTATACACCGAAGAGTGCGGTTACCAGTGACTGTACGTAACCTAAATGTGTTATCCTCCTAACGCCCAGGGCAGCTCCCAGGACGTGGACATGACGTCGGACGAGACGCCCTGCCTGGAGTCCGAGTTCAATAGTCAACAGGTCGAGTCGGACGCCGCTCACGGGCACAGTCGGCTCCGATTGCGCTCGGACAGTACGCTTCCACCGCCGTCCCAGGACGAGCAGCTCACGGCCTCATCGTCGTCGGCACACTCCCCGGTGACGGCGAGCAGCACTCCGGAGGAAGCGCTCGTGGAGCCCCAGGACTGCGGACACGTGGACCTGGGCGACGTGTTCATCCACCAGATCATCCACACGATCGAGTACTGCCTGGGCGCCATCTCCAACACGGCCTCGTACCTGCGACTATGGGCGCTCAGCCTGGCACACTCCCGTGAGCGGACGGCTACTTCTGTTTTGTAGGGCTGTGCCAGTAAGGAGCGTACATTCGCTGACGAAATGTATTCCGCCGTTTTGTTGTCATAAGCTGTAGGGGAGTGCAAAAGGCGAGCATTCCCAGGATTCACAGGACACCCTCTAATGCATGGTGTACATATGTCCGTACGTCTTATTATACACTGACATTAAACAAAAAAATTACGGATTAACGTCTGAATACCCGCTATACACTTATAATCAAATAGCGGAGTTATCTCCAGTTTCAACTCTTTCACAGTAGAGGATATGAATGACTGACGCAACCAGTGATTTCTCTACACCTTCCTCCCCCTTACTTTCCTGAAGGCACCCTCTTAATTCGCAACGACTCCTTTACTCTCAATGCCCCCTCCTCTCCCCCCCCCCCCTTCCCCCCCTCCCCCCATCTCCCCTCGTAAAAATTTAGACACCCACCCTAATTTCAATTCCTAAGGAAACCCTACACTCAACCCTATTTTATTCGAACCAGTATTCGCACGCCTCTGACTTTCGTCTCTTTGTTGGCAAAGCGACTAAGACGTATTCACACGAAAATGATATCTTTCGATTTGCAAGTCTTCAGACGTCCGCCGAGCTCGGCGCTCCCGGTCCCCCTCAGCGGAACGCCGTTTTAGTTCCAATTATTTTTAAATTCGATTGGTGTACAGATTTTGAACAATTTACATTTTCTCGCCAAATGCAAGTGGAAAGCACTTCTCGATATCTATATAGTGAATAAATCAAATTGGTGCGCAGCTGTGCACCAAATCAAATTTTCCCCGCTATGTTTGCTATGTCTGCCGACAAAAAAAGAAAAAAAAAAAGAAAAGACTTTCCGCCAAAGTTAGCGGATAACTGAACTTGATGTACAATGATACGCAAACTTTAGTTTTCTCCTTAAATAAACTACTCTAGCCGCGGCGGACGGACGCCTCCAATGCCGAGTTTTGATATAACCATAAACATGCTATCTAAAAAAAAAAATCGATGCAAGAATTGGTAGACTGTCTTCACTGTCGGGGGTGACCCGCGCAGAGCTGTCGGAGGTGCTGTGGCAGATGGTGATGCGCATCGGGCTGGGCATGTCCGGAAACTTCCTTGGCGGCGTCGCCATGTTCCCCATCTTCGCCGCCTGGGCCGTGCTCACCGTCAGCATCCTGCTGGTCATGGAAGGGCTGTCCGCCTTCCTGCACGCGCTGCGTCTCCACTGGTACGTCGCACGTTTGAGCCGGTCTCTAAAGACAAGAACCGTGCGCAAAGACCAGTGACTAAGCTAAGAAAGAATAAGTTCAAAAGAACGTAGGGCGTGTTCAAGGAGCGCCAACATCCAGATGACGCGAAAGGCCTGTTCACACCACATTCACACATTCAGCAGAGCGCTATAAGCCTAGCGCTGACCTCGCTCTAAGCGCGTGCTGACTGGAGCGTTCACAAGCTTAATATCGCACTGTTAAAACTGTTGCTCATGGCAGACGATAAGTAGCTTACGACAGGTGAGCAGCGCTACATTAGCGCTTCGCTGTATGTGAAAAGTTGAGAATTATATGCCACTAAAATGACCACAATTTACGAGGGGTTAAAACACGTAAAACCGTAAACGTACGCGCAACATAAAATGTGTTTCTCTTTTTATTATAGTGCTACATTTATCGAGCAATAAGAGGTTTCTGGTTTTCGCTTTTTTTTAAATTTTCGAGCATGCAAACTTGAGTTCTGAACACTAGAACAAACTTACCTTTGCACCCTTACGTGAGCATCAGACTGAATAAAACGAAAGTTAGTTATTGCACATTGCGCTCGTTACTTAGCTTCACTTTATTTTGATCGTCTAGGTGCGCAGGTATGTAATGATTCAGTGTTAGTGCGTAGTTTTGGACGCCTCTCGATTTTCGAGATGCTCTTCATTGCTTTGGCACGTAAGCCTCCTGCAGGAAACCGCCCATATCGTGTTCGCGCTAACAGTGTCGGACAGTGTGCATTAATGCATGTACGAAGCCATTTTAGCAGCGTTTTTAATGCCCTGAGTTTGAAATAAAAACGTCGTAACTGAATAATATGTTTGTCTACATTACTGAGAAATTTTCCGAGTGTTACGAATATAAAAAGCGCGAAAGACAAAAGCAAGAGGGAGTCTAAGGGAGTGTACACAAGACTAAAGTTTACACAAGACAAGCGCTTACTCGCAACGTGCTCGCAACTGACGTTTTAATTCGGAAGATGACGAAGACGAGAACATTAAAGACCCTAACGTTAAAAGTTACAAATATTTATGAGAAAGGAGTGAAAGGATCTAAAAAGACAGAATTAAAGAAGGTAAAAAGGAAATGAGTAAAAACAAAAGGAAATGGTGGCCATGATTAAAGTAACAGTGAAAAAATTATCATTTTTTCACTGTCACTGTCATGAAAAAAAAAAAGGAAACAGAAAAAAAGAAAATGGTGGCCATGAATAAACAAACAGTGAAAAACAATCATGCCAACCAAAGAAAACCAATTGTAAGTTATTTTCACGGCTAAGACCCACAAGGAAGGGTGTCCTTTTCGCGTAATTGTTACTGAGAAGGGACCTTGGCAGGGTGGAATGTCCCGATACCTTCTGCGTCATTTGTCTGTCCTCCAACTTGATGACCCCTCCTTGATATCCAACTTAGAAGTAATGATTTAGCACCTGAAAGACGACTCAACACAAACACGATATGGGTTTTCCCTAGATGTTGAAGACTTATTTTATTCAATACCACAAAGAGAATTGTTCGACGCCGTCAGCGAATGCATCGACTCCAATGGAGCCCTTGGTTATCAGAACACCTGTGGCATACCGGTCGCGTCTTTCCTAGAGCTTTTGTAGTTTTATTTGTGCTCGACGTTTGTCACGTTTTCAGGAGAAACTTACAAACAGAAAAAAAGGAATCTGCATAGGGTCATGCGTAGCCCCCATTTTGTGTGACATTTTTCTTTCAAAGTGTGACTGGAGCATATTCCAGAGTTTGACTTCCTATCCAGCCGCGCGCATATTCAAAATATTCAAATACGTTGACGACTATCATGTGCTCATGACAAAAGTACATCACGCAAACGAAATTAACGTCATAAAAAACATATTTCTAGACCAGGCCCAAGGATTGAACTTCACCCAGGAAACTTCGGCTAACAACAACCTCCAATTTCGTCATACGCGACTCACCGTTCAAAATGACCACGTCTGTTAGATGGATTCACCTAGATCCAAGAAACGAATACTCCAATATTAATCTGCACACCGGCGAAACTAGTCAAAAGGGACATTGTGTCTAGTTGTTTGAGCGCTGCCGTGAAAAAGTCTTGAATACATTCAGCAAGGGAGAGCTTTGACGCGCAAGTATCAAAGCTCAAGGCGTCAGGTTACCCCACCTCCATCCTGTCTGACGTTGTTGAATGTATGGTAAAACCAAACAGAACAAGCAAGAGAAGTAGAGAAAAAAGAAGTCGATCGGCGGTCGTCCCTTACATCCATCGCATCTCTCATAACTTCAAGAGAATTGCCTGTAAATACGGAGTGCCGGTTGTGTTTTCAGCCCCCGACAAGCTTAAAAAGCTCTGCCCCAAAGTCAACACCCCGCGCACGAAGCCTGACAAATGCAGTGTTAGGCACTGTCACAGATACGTCAACTGTTGCAGCGGGGTAGTGTATTTGATCCCGTTCACCTGTGGGAAGGTATATGTGGGACAGTCGGGAAGATGCATCAACGTAAGGCTCAAACAACATGCGCTATCTCTAAAATCCTCTCCGTCGGGGCATCTCGCTTTACATGTGAAAGACTGTAGATGCGCCCCGCTACTGCCCAGCACAAGGATTTTGAGGAGGTGTCCTGATAAGCGAACTCGCGAGATTTTTTAGGCTGAGGTCATTGCAGACTTGGACGTAGTTCAACTGCTCTACTCAAACTACTGTAGTTTAACTACTTTTTCGAGTAACTTGGTAACTTTCAATTACAACTTGATTTGGGTAATTAGTAGTTTAATTTAACTACTTTTTTCAGGTAACTTCTACTCAAATTACTAACTACTTTCGAAATTATATAGTGCTAATTTTGCCCATCACGAAAGTTTGAGGGCCCTCTTGTTCGGGAAGGCGTCCTTGGGCCAAGGTGGCGACGAGCAGCCAAAGCATAAAACCGGCACGCACGAACGCAGGAAGACATGCTTAACAAGCCTTGGTCGGGTATTGAACTAATCCGGTAATGCACGCAGGCGCCGCGTTTCCAGCTGCAACCGTGAAAGACGGGGGCACTCTGAGAGTTGTTGTTTTCGTGCTGTCTGTCTTTAGTGAGTTCCGACTCAAACGGTAGGTTCCATGGGAGGCGCCACTGGAATGACCTCGCAGCTGAACGCCTTGTCGTCAGCGCATACGCCTTTGCAAAGCCGGACTCCCCCGCGCACAAACCCTGGTACGGATAATCCGTTCATGGGAGCACGTTCCCGCTTACAGCTGTTCATGTAATCCTTCGCGTCCTTCCGACCATCCATGCCTGGGAGGCCTCCTCTTTGTTAAAAATGATTCAGGCGCGTCAGAATATTGTAGTCGCCGGCGAGGGTTGCGAGTTATCCTTGGGAGATCCCAATGTTGGACCCGGCGTTAGCCATTATCTGTTAAACCAAAACAATTTTTTTTTTTCAGTAGCGTAGCACTAGCACTACAACGGGACGCGCAGTCGTCCGGATGATCTCATCGTCGTGGCGCGAGACTTGAACCCTTGACGGTCTGGTGCACCCGCTCAGCGTACTCACAGAACGACGTCGGAATGAAGAGGGGCCAGACATAACAATCTCAACTTGACGAAGAATAAAAAAAAAGGAGGAAAGTTTGTTATTAAAGACCCTCTACCCGAGGCAAACCTCACAAGTTTTGTCATGGACACCTAAGATGCCGACACTCGCTTACCCGACCCTGCACAGTCTGTTTCTCAAATTCAACGCTGCCGTTCCATCCAGCCCGTCGATGGAACGTCTATTTAGCTTGGCTGGGGACGTCTTTAGAAGGAAAAGGGGAAAACTCTCCTATCAAGAACTTTGAAAGTCAATTGCTTCTGCGAGCGAGTAAACTATTTGGCGAAAACGCAAGCCATAAATAGACTGCATTTATTTTAGGCTCGCAGGGTTTTTCATTGAGCAAAGCTGCTGCTCATTTTGCTACCACAAATATATAAAGAAGTAACTTCGAAAGTAACTTCAAAGTAACTCGCTACTTTTTACAGTAGTTAGTAGTTTACTCAATTACTATTACGAATGCGTAATTTCTACTCTACTCCAATTACTTTTGGCGTCGATACTCAGTAACTTAACTACTTTTTTTGAGTAATTTGTACATGTCTGGGTCATTGCGACCAAAGGAGACACCTGCATCAGTGTTACATCGGTGACTTCGTCATCCAAAGATTTAGAGTACATGAAATATTTTCCTTAGATATTCTTAATTCGCTTTACCTTCCTCTTTCTTTTTTTTTAATTTTTTTCACTGTCATTTTTTTAATTTCCTTTTTTTACCTTTTTTAATTCTCAGCCTTTTCAGATTCTTTCACTCCTTTCTCATAAATATTTGTAACTTTTGACGTTAGGGTTTTTATTGTCTTCGTCTTCCTCATCTTCCGAATTAAAACGTCAGTTGCGAGTAAGGGTTTGTCCTGTGTAGTCTCCCTCTTGTCCTTGTCTTTCGCGCTTTTTATTTTCGTAATGTTTAACCAACTAGGCCAACAAATCCTTTTGGTACTGGTCTAAGCTACCTAGTAGGCACGAATCATTCGCGATAATTGATCTTATTATCAACCGCAGGGAGAAGATGCACTCTCCCTTTCCTATAGGAATGCCTTGCCGAAAATCAATTTCAGACTCGTTACCATTTGCTTCATTTGGAAACCGCACTCCAGTGGACCTCTATCGTACATTATAATAACTCTACGGTGGAGACAAAGGCAACTAGCTTTAGGTCTACCCACTAATCCTACCAATCAGAGCTCGGCGTTCTGACGTTTCCCTCTCGTCTCCTCCTCTCCCTCAGTTTCTCGACACATTAGTTTTTCAAATGGTCTTACTTCGTTACTTGTACCATGGTAAATACTACGCACCATTATGCTAGTAATGCCGAAAATTGGTGTGTTGCAAGTCCCCTTGGAAAGTATCAAAGCTACTCAATCGTTTTACTCGCAGTAACTTTATATCACTATGCTTTTTTTTTTGTATGTACTTCCCGACAATAAATAGCCACTTTAAGAATGCCATGCTGATTGAAAGTCCGGAAAAATTACACTAGGAAAAGTCACGTATGCACTTTCGTGAACAGTATGAGCGGGAACGCCGGAGCGCGTGGCCTTCGATACATGTTGCGATACCTCGAAGCTGATAAAACTGCGAGAGTGCGCACACTGAAGTAAGCGCACACTCTCGCACCCCCTTTTTTTATCAGCTTCGAGATTTCGCAGTTTTATTAGCCTCGAGAGCGCATGTCTGCATCAAAGACCCCGTAGTCCGGCGTTCCCGCTCACGACAGTTGTGAGTTTTTTAGTATTGCGTATACGAGCAAACGCAAGCGCCATGCGTTCGCGGTTGCGTTGCGTTCTCCACGCTGCGCATGCACGAAGTCGCCATGCGCCAATGCAAGGCCGCAGTTGCGGCTCCGCGCACGCGCAGTGCGGAACACGCAACGCTAACGCAAACGCACAGGGCTTGCGCTCGCTCGTATACGTACTACTAAAACTCATTATTATCATGCCCTTGATAGCGTTACCGTGAAGCACGGCCCGTATTTTTGGCTTCGAAGATTGAAACCACACGAAGTGACTAACGTAATTTAATTGCTCAAAAAGCCATCTACGAGTATGTGCTTGTTTTTGTTTGTGCAGGGTGGAGTTCATGAACAAGTTTTTCAAGGGCGAAGGTTATGCTTTTGCTCCCTTTGATTTCAAGGAAATCTTGCTGGCTGCAGAATCGGTGTGCTGATCAAGGGATACTTTTCTGACTCGCACTGCTGGCGCAGTGGTCAGATGATTTTTCCAAACAAAAATAAAACATAAATGACCATGACAGAATCAAGCTTTTCTGAAGCGGCAGGTAATAAATGCAAGGATCTACATTAACAAGAGTAAGGGTTTAAACTTTTATTTTGAGTCAGTGTTATAAACTTTTTGGGTTCAATAAAAATGAAAAAAAAAAAAAATGTTTCACGTTTTAATCACCTCAATCTCTGACATCGAATGAAGGTTATTGCCATAGTAGATGGCTCGCTAGAGATACTAAAAAAAGTATTCTGAAATACAAATACTGAATTACATCTGAAAGCAAACGTATTTTGAAGAAATCTACCTCGTTGGGTAAGAGTTAAAGTCCGAAAATGTAGCTCCAACCAATACTCGCCAGGAAACCCGACGTTTCGAAACCAACTCGGTTTCTTCTTCAAGTGTGACTGAAAGCACGCGGAACAGCAGCAGCTCCTAACCTCTTCGTCTTCAAAAAAGAAAAGAGAAAGAAATGAAAGAAGTAGAAAAAAGGAAACTAAAAAATAAAGAAAAGAAGCTTTTAGCTATATGGAGACGGACATCGAGCTTTTTCGTCAGGTTACGGAGGTCATGTGCGTACACAGAGGGCAAAGCGCCCAGGGACCTGTTAGGGTTCCTGGCGTACAGTGGATTTGCCATCATTCCAAGAAAAGTCTTCTTTGGAAACTGGGCTCTGTGTCCATCTCCTGCGCGTTCGCGAAGTCATGCGATGGTCTAGCGCATCGCAATGTTCGGCAATATCACTGCGTTTACTGTCGAACTTCCGCACGTCGTTCTTGTGTTGGCGAATTCGCTCGAGAAAGTTCTTCGTCTCGCCGATGTAGGTCGCGGGGCATTCTGCGCAGGGAATGATGTAAAACCATGTTGAATATACCTGAGACTGGGGTAGAAAAGAACATAAAAGTCGAAGAAACAGAACGGGATAAGACGACGTCTCAATTGGGTTGAGACGTCGTCCTGTCCCGTTCTGTTTCTTCGACTTTTATGTTCTTTTCTACCCCAGTCTCAGGTATATTCAACATGGTTAACATCCAAGAGCTCTCCTGCACCCTTACTATTGTATCAATGATGTAAAACACGCCCTGAGCTCTTTCTTTTGGTAGACAACCTTTCGGCCTTGGCATGAGCCTTACCAGTGCGGACGAGGGCTTGTGAGCCATCAGAATACCTTCCTTTCCCAGTGCTCGTGCGAACGCTTCGCTGGTTCCCTTTAGGTAATGAAGCTGATGCGCGCAACTCGATGGGGCTGTCTTTCTTCTACTGGCATCTGGTTTTGTCTTGCGACACCTTGGCGTCGGGCGATGCGCTCAATGGAGCTACTAAAGTAGCCATTTTTCTTTATTTCTTCAATTATAGTCTTCCTCTCCTTCTTTTTATTGGTTTCCGACGAGCAGATAGTCGTTTCCCTACGCAGGAGGGTTGAAACCACAAAGGCCTTATGACTCGTTGGATGGTTGGAGTTAAAATCGCGGTATACATATATATGTATATAGCGGCTGGTGTGTGTAGGTTTTCTGTGCACCGCAAACTTTAGATCTGGCCCTCGTCGATTCACCAGCACATCAAGGAACGGCAAGGTGCCACCCGTCTCACACTCCACGGTAAACTGAATGGTCGGCTCGATACAGTTGAGATGTGCCAAAAAATTAGTCACGTCCATTTTCTTGAAAATGCAGAAACAATCATCCACATAGCGCATGAATGCTTTGAGGCTGTTGGGGACAGAGCTCAGCGCTTTTTGTTCAATTGTTTCCATCATGAGATTCGCCGTTGTGACCGAGATTTCTGCACCAATTGCAGTGCCACTGACCCGTTTGAAAAGCTCCCCTTTGAAGGTGAAATATGTGCTGCCGAGACAGAACTCGAGCAGACGGAACAATTCATCCACACTGACGTTGGTTCTTGTAGTCAAGGTTACGTCTTTTTCGAGGGCTTCGCGGGCTGCAGCAACTGCAAGGGCAACTGGGACACTCGTGAAGAGGGACACCGCGTCGAAAGACACCATGGTGTCATCGTCGCTGAGATGTATTTGCGAGACGCGCTCCACGAAGTGGCCCGGAAACTTTTCCGCACCGTACACACTGAATTCTGCTGAATTTAGCGGGAAAATTTCGCCGCTAAATTTTAGCGCACGCTTGCATGTGGATGTGTGGGTGTCGGGGGGGGGGGGGGGGATGTTTGGTGTGTAACATGAACCTTCCGAGAGTCTTGATTCCCATTTGCGCGCTCCTCCTGTGTCTCTGTTGGCTCTTCTTGGCCACCCGGGGCGCGCTGTAGTGCCCACTTATTTTTGTTTTCTTCCCTTTCGTTCTGGACACTGCCGACCTCCAACGGCACCTTGCACAAAGTGGTTTGGGGACGGATGCATTGCCCCTTCCCTGGTCGCGGGCTTCGTCCACCCATGGTCGGTTCTAGGAAGTTGTTTCCGTTCCTCGTTTTTTGTTTTCCTTTTTTTTAAATTTTTTTGCCGTTGTTATGAAGTGGCGGGCTTCCAGCTTCAACTGCAATATTAGGACCCGATAAAAAAGAAGAAAACGTCTCCAGGTGGTCTGGAACCCACAGCTCGACGGCCTCTGAATTCGGTTCCTTAAGTCACCCTACTGTCTGTTAGAGTGACCATTTACGAATGTTCCGGTGTTTAAACATTGTACTACCCTTTTTACACAATAAAAAAAAAGTTCAGTAAAAAAAGTTAAGGAAAGGAAATGTACCATTAGATGAGGTGCAGTTTTTTGACATGGCTCAGGACTCCAGCAGGAATGCCGTTAAAGGGGCACTAAGGAAGATTCTGCGATTTTCTGTTCTCGGTTATAACTGACTGTACGGGCTTAAAGCATCCTAAAAATCCAAAAATTGCGATCACACCACGCCGGTTTCCCTATTAAAGAGGGAGATGAAAGGTCGGGACACGCCCTTCTCTGAGTGGATTTTTCCGCCCGGGAAAAGCGGGGCACGCCCAAGCAGCGGTGTCAGAGCGGTGACGAAAGGCGCTTATCGGTCAATCGCAAGCCGCCTCTCAATTGCGAACAGCCTCTCCGAGAGAGGCGGCTTGCGGTTGGCCGACAGCCGCCCATCATCACCGCGCTGACACCGCTGCTGGTGTGTACCCCGACTTTTTCTGAGCGGAAAGATCGGCTCAAAAAGTGGTGTGTCCCAGCTTTTCATCACGTATCTAATAGAAAAACCGGCGTCGCGTGATTGTACTTCTTGGATTGTTAGGATGCATAGGGCCCGTAGAATCAGTTATGGCCAAGAACAGACGAATCCGGTTTAGTGCCCCTTTAGCTTCGGTGTGACCCCGGGAGACGGCCTTGCTGGCTTTGCTGGGGTTTATCTAACCGAAGTACCTGTACGAAAAGTAAAAGAAACACACGTGCCAACACTCACTATTCACGAGTAAGGTTGTCAACCTCCAAAACGACCCATGGGGAAAATTATTGAGAGAACGTTATGGTCACGTTGGCTGAGTCATCTCTCGCGGTCATTGTTCCCATTACAATTCCATTTCCGTGAACAATTGCAGGGCCTATTATAAACAATGCGTAATTTGGTTTTGTATGAAATAACAACCCACAAAGCGAAACTCTACTATGGTGTGTTGATGCACGTCTGAAGAAACTCCAGAGTGCATGGTGCCTCCTTCGGATACCTGATGTCGAGGATGAAATATGCTCTTAGGAGTGAACAGACAGCGACTTCCAATTTGTTGGTCTGAAACACAGGCGACCTGTTGTCAAGGGGTTCAATCCGTAGAGGGTCGTCTGTAATTGTACAGCCTAGAAGAAAAAGCAAGATGCAAAGATCATCAGAATTAGATCTCACCAAAGAGGCTCCCTTGTAGTGGAACAATCTGCAATCTAGGCACACTAATCGGGAACCACAGGGCGAACAGCAGCGATTCAATTTGCGTTGACTGAGGAGAAACACGGGCGACGGGAAGCTTAGAAAACGCATGCCGTTTTCTTCACTTCATTCGGTTTTCGCAGCCGATAACAGGGCTGTTGAGCGGCGTCACGATAATCTGTCAACCCTTCCTCGGCGCTTGACAATACCTTGGCGCCGGTGCCCTTCCGTACTGATGGAAACAAAAACTAATCACTCGCTAGCGTTTCTCAACTTCGTTTGGCGCCATTCGGCAGCACAGATCAGTGGTCGGTACTCATGGTCTACACGGGAGGAAAATAATAGGGAGTTGTAGTAGGTCGTTTTTCTCGCCCGCTACGGTATCCCCGAAGAAAACGCCACAGCTGCGCATGCGCGCCGCCAGCATTGTCTGCATAGTTCAAGGTCTTGTGGCGGATTACGGAGCGCTATCCGGGTGCTTAGCGGGCTGCGGAAACGGTCTACTACAATTCCCTATTGACGTGCGCAGAGCCGAGCGCTTGTTACGAAAGAAATGTTCTTGAAACGTGAGAGGGCGAAAAAAAACTCGCCTTCTGTAGCCCACCCGTTTTCGAGCAGAGCAGCTGCTCTTCATTCACCGAGCCGTTTGGCACGCCTTTGAAGCGCATCCTCTGGAACGCCAAAATGTGTGGTAGCAGTGAAAAGGGAGTGATGCTCCTGCTTGACACTTTCAAAAATTTTGTTCATGTCACTTTCGCGCTATAAAGACCCTGTGTATTTTTTTTTATACGTTCGAACCATCCTAGACACTCAGAGGAGAAAAAAAATATGGCTCAGGAGCCACGAGGAGACTCCTGCGTTATTTGCATGTGCGTCATTAAAGGGATCATAAAACGCTGTTCCAACTTTTTCCTGTTTAGCTTTCCTCCTCAACTCCTAAATCGCACATTGTACCAAAAAGCTCAAGAAGACGGAAAAGGGCGAGTCCTCTCTTGCTCGGACTTTCGTTTGTGTACCCGGACACAAACGAAGATTAGCCTGTCGTTTAAAATAGCCCACAAAAGTTGCTTTCCCCGCCCCATTCACCTCGAAGCTGGCAGTGCTGTGGAAGCTACGTGTTTGTTGGGCCAGCCACACTATTGCCACGTGATCACGCTCTCTCGCGCATACCCACACGCATAGAATGAGGGCAGGTGATAAAAGGAAGACGGCTGATTGGTTCGGCAAGCGCGTAGCTTCCACCGTAATGTCAGCTTAGGGGTATAGGGAATAAGTATGTATGTATGTATCTTTTATTTCAGACACAAAAAGGGTCTGG